ATAGTGAAAAAAAACCTTGGCAAGGGTTAACTGTGTGGGAGCTGGTCAACGCTTGCTAGGCAGCCGCCACATTAAATTATTTTAATTTTTTTTTTTTAATTCTGGGAAAAAATGGTTCAGCTAGACTAAATTTTACATCTAATACACTCTGATAAAGGAGTAGAAATGTATTTAATGGAATGTTTGTTATATTTTTTAAGTATTTCATACTATATGAAAGTCTTATTAGCATACTTTAAAACAATATGGTAGAAAGATGTAATTTTTATAATTTAAAAACACACAATAAAAATTCCAAAATTGTTCTAGATCTGAAGTGTGGTAAAAAATATTACAGGCTTAGTTTGTAAGGAGTTAATCAGTACACATCTATTTCGAAACTAAGTTTTAATATATATTGTTGCAATTTGCTAGGTTTTCTGGGAATTTATACAAATACAATCTGCTTTATTTTCTATAATATTGCCAGCTCTTCATTTGATAAGTCCCTGTTTGGCTTAACACAGCTCCGTGTCAGATGTTCAACAAATTAAATCATATGGTTACATGCCAGTGTACAATGTGACCATATGGAGGGAGGAGAGAGAGATTTAGAGAATTAGAGAGTTAAGGCATAAATAGACACTTTCTCTGTTAAACATGGTACTGGTGAATAACCCTTTAGTTTGTATTACTACTGACTAACCTATAATATACCTATAATATTTGTTCAGTAGCACGTCTCTGCCTAGATCTTCCAAAGCTACTATGAAGTGGAGAAGAACTGTTACAGACTAACTCTGGGGAGAGATTGATTGTGGTTAAATTATGCTTGAGGGCCTAAATCAGGTTTTCTATTAAAAAAAAAATGCATATTTACCAATATAGAATGTTTTTTTAATATGTTAGTTACGATAAGTTATATTTTTTGAAGTAAGATTTTTTTAAGATAAATTGAGATAATTTCACTTACTTTTTCTGTTTCATGCAGAACATATAATTTACAAAAAGACCTTTTACTGACTTGCTGCTGGTGCAGAAAAATAAAAAGGGGTTACTTAGTTCTATATTTTGCAATATCCACTATATAACATATTAAGAAAAATACAACTATGATGAGAGAGAAAACCTTTCACCAGAGTTGAAGTGGTTGTGGGATACTCAGGGCATAACCCAAAATAAACATAGAAAGGAAGACTGGAATGAGTAAGCTAAACAGACGAACCCAGTAGCAGACCTAGTATCCTCAGAGGAGCTGAGAACCATTAAAAGGTTAAAAAGTACCTTTATTAGTGAAGAGCAAAAAAGAACTATAATTTTATTAATCCCTAATGAGAAGACAAACAAAAAAAATCTAGGTGACATAATGTGAATATAAGCTACACAAGAAGAGGCAACAGGGCTACACTAGTCAGCACTGGTGCCTTTTAATCGGTTACAGAGGAACTCAAGGGCATCACCCAAAGTAAATTGAACAGAAACTACTAAATGGAGTCAGGATAACTCCTCACAAATATGTGGGGAGTCCCTCCTCCATAAACGAGAACCTTTAAACAAATTCAGTATCCATAAATATGGTATAAGCCTTTGGTATAGACAAAAAATAAAGCGGGATGGGAAGACCGCCCACTTAAAGTGTGCGGACTCCCACTCCACCAAAAGAAGTACCTTTAAAAGTAAAAATTCGTATAAGTAGTATAAACCTTTATTAAAGCTGAATATTAGGATATTAAAATATACATAGCCTAACTAGAACAGTAGGTTTTCTGTAAAAAAACAAAACCCAAACAAATGTGACATTGTGAATAAACAGAGTGATAATACACCTTTAAAATTCTGAGTAGAGTAGTCTCAAAGGCCACTTCAAGTAGTAAGAGGAGTTTAATAGTTATTATAAGTATTCTTAAATTTGAGTAATTGAATAGTAATTGAATAGTTCAGTAGATCGATATCTCCAGAGTATCAAGGTACACATAATTAGTAGTTGTAGTGTATAGAGGTTGTAAAAAATTGAACCAAAACTAAGGAATAAACTGAATATTGTCAGACAGACAAATCAAAGTGATACACTGTATCACGTTTGAATGGATACCTAACTTCTAGTAAAACAGAGTCTGTTAGCCACCGCACACTAAAGGATACATAGTTGTCCTAATTAGATAGTGTTGCTAAGTGGACTTTATACAGAGTTTACAAAGTATAGGTATTCTTGTCCATCCCTTAATTAGACCATATTAATCAAAGGGTTCACTATGGCGTGGACACGATGTACCCGGCTCCAAACAAAGTAGAGGAGGAGATGGTTAAAAAAAAAGGGGGGGGGCTTGTCTAAGAACGGTGCATTTAGGGGCAGTACCGCCAAAACGGGCTGAAGTGTTAGAATCGCTACACACAAGTGACTATCTAGCTTGTTGTATATCGTAGCTGTTACGTAAGCATCAAATGCTTCAAAGTACTAACTGCCAAATCGTTAAATTACCAAAGTAATAGGAGTTTGTTAAATACCAATATCCGGTCACACAGTTACTGGCTGTCACTAACCCGTTGGTTATACCAAAAACCCCTATCTCCTGATGCTACTGTAAGGCAGCCTGCTAGGTCAATATCCAAAGCCCCTATCTCCTATAGCTGCATCAAGGCAACCTGTCTAGTAATCCCCACTTCAACGCACCAAAAGTGCTCGACGAGCGTTTCGGCGTAATGATACGCCTTTGTCAAGAGCTAAGTGTCATGCGTTCCCATGAGTGTTTAAATGAGGACATATAGCTCTCCCTCCTACCTCAATCATCCAATTCTATTGTATCAGACGTTAAGTGGGAGTATCTTTCAATTGACTCACTCCCATTGGTGAAGCCAAATGCTCATCAGAATTAGGGGAGGGGATTAGAGACAGACTCCCACTAAGATGTTAATATGTTCCCTAGCAACGCAATTAACCTGCAGAGTGCCAGATCAAAATCAGAGGATGCCAAAATAATAAAGTTACAGTCTCAATACATTGTTGCAGAAAGTAAATGCCCGACTATATACAGGCATATTTATTCATACTTATTCTGAATGTGAGTGGATTTAGGGGGCTGTAAAAAGACCTTTCAAACCGATCGCACGGGAACTGACTTAAAAGTGAAAAAACTACTTTTTCTTAAAGAGACAGTCCCAATACGTAATTACAAAGAATTGACCTCTGATTAAATACGGACATATTTGTTCAGAACATAGATGTATCCAAGAACTGTAAACGGATCCCATTAATATAAATTATAAGTCAAGAGCTATTCTCTCTTAAAGTCATAAACCATTAATTCATTGATTTATACATATCTGATTAAAGCATGGCACATGAGAATATTGGGATCCCTTTACTAATGATATATATGCGGGAGGAGACGGAGAGGGAGGGACTAGGGGGAGTGGGCTCCCTATTGTTCAGTGTAATATAATCGAAAAATATATATAGTGAATTCCTCATTAACTACGCGAACACACTGACACTATATCTACCACACACATGGATAAATGATCACAAGAAATACATTTACAAGTATATACAACTACATGCAGGTAAATTTTAAAGTTTAAACATATCAGAACTGGAGCAGATGTCAACCCAGAATCAGAGGGAGCAATGCTGTCTAATTATATAAAATAGGGAGCACAAAAAAACCCTTATTTAGACCTCTTGGACTCAAAGTTCCAAGTTTATGGATCCATCTGCACTCCCTTTGGCGTATAGTCCTATCGTAATCAACCCGTCTCTGGTCACGTTTGACCAGTTTCAATCCACAGAACCTAATGTCCCTAGATGTCCCACCATGATGTTCTTTGAGGTGTCTTGGAAAAAAGGGTTTCTAAATGATTTTTAGGGGACCTAGCGTGTTCCTTTATTTGTTCCCTAAACTGCCAGAATGTTTTACCCACATACATGAGAGTGCAGCTACATGTCAATAAGTAGACCAGCCCTGCGCTGTTACAATTGAAAAAGTGATTGATTTTAAAGTAATGAATTCCTTCACTATTGGTCACATGTTTAGATTCCCTTGACGTACTTACACACCACACATCTACCACATCCGTATGTACCAGTCGGGATGTTACACTTGAGCCATGTGGTTGGTGGAATCGGGTTAGTGGAGAAATGACTTGGGACTAGTAGGTCCCAAAGGTTCTTACCCCTCCTTGCCGTGACGGAGGCCTTTGGGCCAAGGACGTCCTTCAGGTGTTTATCTTTAAGTAAGATTGTCCAAAATTTTTGAAGGGAATTATACACTATGTCCCAGCGTGTGTCATAAGGGCTTATCATCCTTATGGTCTTGTCCCGAGCCTTCTTGGTACTTGGTCCATCAAATAGGAGATCTCTCCTGTCGGTTTCCAAGGCTCTCCTATAGGCTCTTTTTAGGCACCTATTTGGATAACTTTTTTCTCTAAATTGTTGTCTCAGTATGTTCGCTTTTGATTTAAAGTCCTGTAGACTAGTACAATTTCTCCTTATCCTGAGATACTGTCCCACCGGTATACCTTGTTTTAATGGCTTTGGGTGACAGCTATCCCATTTGAGAAGGGCGTTGGAGGCAGAGGGTTTTTTATATAGAGTCGTGGTAAGGGAGCCATCCTCACAGATGGAAATAGTCAGATCCAGGAAATTAAGCCTCAAGCCACCAAACTCAGCAGTGAATTTCAAATTTTGTTATTCAAAAGGGCAACAAACTTATTAAATGTATCACTGGTACCCTGCCAGACAATCAGGATGTCATCTATGTATCTATGCCAAGAAAGTATTTTTGGTCTGAAGTCTGACAGGGTATCTGAGAGACCTATTATCTGTTCCTCCCACCACCCCAGGTGAAGGTTAGTGTAGGAGGGTGCACAGACTGTCCCCATGGCTGTACCCCTCACCTGGTGGTAGAACTTATTGTTGAACAGAAAAAAGTTGTGTGAAAGGATAAAATGTAACAGTCTCATGACGAATTCTGCATGGTCATGATGGTTTGCGCCTCTTTGTTCTGAAAAGTGTCTTGTGTGCTCTATTCCTTTCTGTGATGTGGGATAGAGGAGTAGAGGGACTCCACATCTAAGCTACACAGTTTGGCCGAAGGTGGTACCTGGAGACTGCTCAGCAGAGACAGGGCTTGTTTGGTGACCCTGACATAGTACGGTAATTTTTCAACAAATGGCCTCCGAATTTTATCTACATAGAGGCTACCGTTCTGAGTGATGGTGTCACCACCGGACACAATAGGGCGGCCAGGTGGGGTTTGGAGATTCTTGTGGACTTTGGGCAAGCAGTAGAAGGTTGCTATCCTTGGATGACATTTAAGAATAAATCTGTATTTGTCATCCGACAGCAACCCGCCACTGCGGACCTCGTCCAGAATACCTTTTGGACCATTGTTACATAGTCTGTTTTATTCAGAACCACCACATTACCCCCTTTGTCTGCTGGTTTTATGATAATTTGATCATTCTCCCTCAGTGACTGTAATTCCAGTTGTTCTTTTCTGGGGAGATTTGCATTTGGAAAGAGGTCAAGGTCCTTTACATCAATACTCAATTTAATTTGTCAGTGTTCCTGAAGGTTAAGAAGTTGGGGGTAGTGATGTCCCGAACGGTTCGCCGAATGGTTTGCCAAACGGTTCGCCACGGACGGCGAACATAAACATAAACTTTGACCCTGTACCTCACCGTCAGCAGACACATTCCAGCCAATCAGCAGAAGACCCTACCTCCCAGACCCTCCCACCTCCTGGACAGCATCCATTTTACATTCAATGTGAAGCTGCATTCTTAGTGAGCTGTCCAGGAGGTGGGAGGGTCTGGGAGGGAGGGTCTGCTGCTGATTGGCTGGAATGTGTCTGCTGACTGTGAGGTACAGGGTTAAAGTTTATGTTTATGTTCGCCGTCCGCGGCGAACCGTTCGGGACATCACTAGTTGGGGGTAAAACGACTTTAAATGTGAATATAAATTGTGAAAGGAAAAAAGAACAAATTATATAAATGGTTAAAATAGGACCAACTGCTTGAATATGTATCAATGGTATCCAAACAGTTACAATATGGACTGTGTAAGTCCTCCTTTCTGTATATAACATATTAGATATCAATGGCAACTTAACATTGATAAAAAAAATAGAACCGCTCAACTTATAATTCAAAAGTAAATGTATTAATTTGCTTAATCTTTTAAATACAATATCATATGTTTTATCCGTAAAAAAAAAAAACCCAAGGTCGAATAAGGTTATTTATAAAACACACAAAAAAGCAGAAAATTTTTTTTTATGAAATCCACTTTTCTCAAATCTCAGACAACTGTAAATATTTCAAAAATGACTGTAAACTGAATAGAAATCTTTGTGAGTTGAAGTGAGACAGAACAAAGGACAATGGTGTAAGAGTCAGATATGTTCTGTATCCAGATCACAATTAAAACTCAAGAAGAAACTCTTAAAAACTTACTGTAAAAAATAAAAGATGTAAGAATTAGAATTAAAAAAGACTGCTTAGAACAGTACACTAAATAGAACCAAGAAATATCCTAAATAATTCCATAACACAGTATTTTTTTTCTGAGTGGTGTAGACCTCAAAATTAAACATAGGATGGGACACATTGTATTACGTATGTATTATCCAGCGATATTCGTATATGTTTAATACATTCTTACAACACAGGCTTTAAACATTGAAAAATGGCTGTGCACCCAAAATTAGGATTGCATCTTTTCTAAAGTGGTAGATGAGTAGAATGAATTGTCATGGTCATTTGGATAGTATGTTTGCCATGAGTCATATAATCTGTGGTCCAGAATTATTTTAGTGATTGCTTTATATTGGGATTTGAGTGCTGCATGTCTAGGTGAGGTTTTGGGAAGTGTAGTTTTTAGAATCCAGGTCATGGTTTAAGATCATCACAGAGAATGAATTTGTCTGTTTAGGATTGAGATATTTTTGTAAGATATTTTAGTGTTTATTTGGATGATAGGACCCGGTTAGAATGTATGCTGTAATAATGTAACAGTAACATATGTGTCCAGGTTGTTTAACAAAAGAGATTGGATCTCTATACTTTGTTCGGCTGCTATGAAAGTGTAGGAAGTTGGTATACCGTCCTCTCCCAAAATAGTGTGGGAAGCAAGCAAGTTATTTTGGCTGCATAATGTATATATTTGTAAGGGTTTCTTGATATAGCAGGTAAATAGTACTACCTTACCACATGTCCTTTTAAAGCCTTAATATGTTTATTTTTACCTTTTGAATAATTTTACATTTCCTTCAGGTCTGCTGACCTGTGAACCACAGTATATCCCTAGCCGGGGATTGTTCCGCCCAAGCGCAAAAGTTGGAGTTATACTTACGCTCCCAAAAAGTGTGAGTGGTTTACCTCTTTTTTATTCTTTTACCTCTATAACTTACATACTACACCATAAATGTTCTTCTTTTATTTCTTCCACATATCTATAAGGACATTATTGACGCTACACCACCCTTCTGCTTCTTCATTTTTTTTTACACAGGATAAGAGAGACTCTGGACTTGGCGTTTGAGCTGCCTTAGAACTTTTTACAGTATTATACAAGCACTGAATCTCTTCTCTTCGTTTGTTTTTATCCCATTGCAGTTAGCATGTTTACCTCAAATGTTAAAATTTGTGTAGGATCCACCAATATTGGGTACATAGTGGTGGACTTGATACAATAAGTCTATATGGTGTAACTGCATCCCTGTTTTGTAATATAGGTGATTCTAAATAGCCTTTTAAAATTTAAAACTGTTTTTTTTGTGTGCTCTCTTAAGATTCTGCCTAAGGGTAAGCATTTGAGAGAATTAAGGCACAGCAAAATAATGAGAATGTAAAATGCTATGCTATTTTGAAAAACAAAAACAACAAAAAAAAAAAAATTGCAATCTTTCCCTTTCAAAGAATATGTTTTAAAATGTAAATATTCTTTTAATTTTCTTCTTTTTATAAGTTCAGCCAGTTTGTAATTTGGATATAAATTCTTGGAGAAAATATATATTGTTTAATTGTTTTTTTTATTGCTTATAACTTATTTATTGTAAGCAAAATACATATTTATTAATCACTTAAAATAATGATAAAAGTTTAAAAAGAACATTGAAGTATGACGATGTATCATTAAATAGTAAGATAGTGCTACACAACCAACATTCTCTTTGACTTTTTCTATTAACATAAACTTCTATCATACCATATGTTTTATCTCATGGACAGAAAACGCATTATCAAGTAAAGTAATTTTAATTATTAAAAATGGTTTCTAATAAAAAAAAATAAAAAATAAATTACTATAAAAGCTTACATGGGAATTTTTCCATGTGTGATCTGGATGAATCATATTAAAATTATAGTACCACATCTTAAATTAAAATTAAGTGACAATATATTCTGCAGTACAGTGGGATAACAACACATTTGCTTAAATGTGAAAAAAATGATGAAGGCCCTAAAATTGTAGACTACAAGAAGCAGAGTATAATGACACAAAATAATAATACAAATTATAAAAAGATTGCCTTAAAGGCAGAAGAGAAGGAAAACTCAGATAATCCTAATTAAATAATTTTATATGGATTTTTTAAGAACTGGAGACTAGGGAAATGTCTGGTGTACAGAGAGGAGAAATTCCATAGGAATGGTGAGACTCTACATAGATGCTGAAATTGGTGGTAGAGGACAGTGATAGATCTATAAGATTAAAAGGAACAATATTGTTTGAATTTCTTGATAACTAAGGATATGTTTTCTGTGTGCACAGCCATGACGAGCTATGTATGTTATGTGATGAAATAAAAATAGTAGTAGTACAAAGAGCCAGCAATAAATAAGGTAACACGATTAGTGATCTTTGAATACTTGACACTTTAATAATTAATTTCTTGTTGCTTGAGAGTAAAAGGTGGAGTCATCTTCCAATTGCACACTGAGTATTTTGTAAAATTATGTAAATTCTACTAATTCTTATTATTCTCTGAAAAGGCAGTGTTTACATGAAAATGCCTGAAGGGAGCTATTATACTCACCAGAACAACTACATTAAGCTGTAAGCTGTTAAGCTGTTGTTCTGGTGACTATAGTGTCCCTTTAACATATTTTTAGCCATCTCCCTCTTTCCATACATTTTGGTGAGGGAGGGTGGCTTTCCTGATGTTCAGATCTGGCTGAAGGGAGTCTGGTCCAGGCTCTTCCCCCTCCTTTCTCTAACTCCACATACGGGTCTCTCTGTTAACTGGGAGAAAGGGAACTGACCTTAAATTCCATTTTAACATACTTAAAGTAAACAGTCATAAACACATACACACACAATCACATACACAAAGTAAACATACAAGTCACAGACACACAGACACATGGAAACTGTTCTATACACAGTCACTCATGTTTTTATTAATACAATTTCCCTCTCATGCTTAATTTGATGGGTATCAAAGGAGAAGAGAACTCCTTCCTGCATCTCCACTGCAAGCTGCAGTTTCCAGGCAGTGGAGGCCATCATGTCACTGCACATACTGCTCTTAATTGCCATTTAACTGCACGTAAATGCTGGCAGACAAATAAATGGCCATGTGCACCATCTGCCCCTCTCCGCTCCCCTATTGGAAATTAAGACAGTTGTCTCCATCTGAGCACTTATGTACTGTTGGGAAGCATGGCATCTGCCCTCTATGCCAAATTAATGCTATGATACAGCATATTCAGAATAAATGGGCAGCTATCTTACATATACAATTAACAACTAATGATTGGCCTGTAATTTTTCAAAAGGTAATGAGAAACCCAGTGTAGATGATAGATGCTGGAGATGTGGACAGGATGAGTATACACTTGAACATATTTGCTGGTTTTGCCAAAATATTCAACATTACTGAAAACAAGTTATTATTTATATAAAACAGTTCTTACCAGTATGCCCCACCCTCTTCCCATCTCAGATTTTGTTGGGGTTGTCCAATTATTTTTCAGATGTAGCCCTAAAACAATATTATGGTTCCTAGTGAATGAAGCAAATGTATTAGCCCCAGTTTATTGGAATAAAACTCTTCCACCTATGATGGAACAATGGGCAAATTGGGTGGAAGATACAAGATCAATGAAGGAATTAGACTGTGGTAGATAATAATTAGCAAAAATATTTATATATTTGGAAACACTGGATCAATACTTGGTTATTGAAAGTAGGGGCCTTTGTTGAGGTCTCATAATGATTATATTATTATATTTCAACTTAATTATTCCTCCTATTACT